TGTCCTGCAAGGTCTTTATAGATGGAAAGAGATCCCCGGCCCTTCTAGATTCATGATTATCCGAAAAAAGGATCAGGTAGATGTATTTTATATCTTCTCCGTCTCTTGGTCACTTCAAAGGAACTTATTATTATTATTATTTTTGTTTTTCAAACGGCAAACAAACAACTTAGATAAAACTCAAATAAGAGTACACGATAGTCAAATGGTTACAATCATTGAAGCCTACAACGATAGACTTAAGAGGCACGAGAAAGGGGAAACACCTGACCCTAGGAGGCAACAAGCCTTAAGAGAAACAACAAGAACTTGAAATAGTAGCAACGATAGCATTACAACTTAACAAAATATCTTTAATAACAAGCAAATCTTGTATGGCCGCCTCCATGAGAAGGAGGCTCCTTGAGATGCCTCCACCAACTCAGCTGAGGCACGGAGAAGTTTATGCGATTATGCTCTTTTGCCCTTTTCATACTCCAACCAGTAGCCGGAACCCAAGCCTCTTCTTGAGTTGATGCTCCATGTAACACACTTTGCCACTAAGTCAACTCAATTTCCAACAAGTTTCGACTTTAGAACGATTGGATAAAACATGATTCAGACCTTCCTCAACCTCACCACAAACTGCACATATCAAGTCAATATATGAACCTCTCCTAAGAAGCTGAGAATTTGAACTTACAAAGTCAAACCAGCATCTCCACACGAAGTTTTTTACCTTTGGCTTGACACTCAAATGCCATATTTTCCTCCACACCTTAGAAACCCGAGTTGGATCCATGCTTGTGCTAGCCATCCTCTGATTGTTTGTCTTCTGTCTTAAGATTGATCTGTAGACATCCTTCACAGAGAACAAACCTTTTGTATTCCAATGCCATATAAGCTAGTCAAGTCCACCATGAGAAGATAAATATGAACTTTAAGGATAATATATGCATCCACATGCTCAAAAATTTGGCAAATTAGATGTAGGAATGTTTTAATATATATGGACATTACATATAAATAAATGAAATTGAATTTAGAAAATAATGTAAATTGTATTAAATTAAATTATTAAAATATAAGCTGTTTTGATAAATTAAAATGTAATAAACTAAATTATATAAAATTAAAAAAAAACAAAATAATAAAATAACTTATATATTAAACGAGAACAAAATAATTAAAATATCTTATAAATTAAAAAAAATTACAGTTAAAATAATATTATTTATTGTATTTATTTTAAATTATTTTCATACATTTTATATTTTATTATTATTATTATTATTATTATTATTATTACTATTATTATATCAAATTTATCTATTATAATTTATTTTGCTTATTTTATTTTATTTAATTCATTTTCGTATAATACATAAATATATTTATGTTCAGTAGTTTACACAATCATCTATTTAGCCTAGTTGTTGCTTGGACGTGTTCATTATTTGCAACCCGCATTGGAATCATACTTCCCACACCTTATATAATTTTAGCTTTAGCAATAAATTCAAGAAGGTATAGACGTAAATTAGTAATTCTATAAAATAAATGGAATGAACAACTCTCAGAGCTAGAGAATATGCATTACACGCGCAGTTAAGTTGGACGGAATGAGAGAACCGTGCACCAATTACTAAGGGTAGTTTCATGCATTTTCTAACACGTGATAGTAACGCGCACATTCCTTTAAACCCCAACCATATCTCCGTTGCATGCTTAATCTCATGATTGTTGTCATAATGATCCTCAATTATTTGGGTGAAAATCTCTCTGTTGGAATTCAAAAAGTAAATAAAGGTAATCAAACACTCCTTTTGGAATCACTATTTCAATGTTGTTCAATTTATTTAAATCACTCTCTAAGTGAGCATCTTTTAGGGCACAAGAAGTCAAAAGTTCATTTTTCTTAACTGTAGTTTTCTAAAACAACTGATGTTTATAAGTCCCTTCCATTTTTAAATCAGACATGATATTAATTTCAAGTGAAAAACAAAGACTATCAAAACTATATATAATACAGTAGATCTTGCATTTTCTAGAAAAAAAAAAAAAAGAATTATTAAATACAAATATAAAGAGGTTAATTTATCCTTATAAGAATTTGAAAATTTACGACTTTTATTTTGCAGAATATTACTTGTGAGTTGTCCCACATTGATTCTATAAGGAAAATGAGTCTAGTATATAAGTCTAGTGGGCTACTTCTTAGATCACCAATTAGTTTTGGGATGGAACCTCACTAAGGTGCATCTAGCCTCACCCTCCCTCTTATGGTGCACTTCATCTGGTGGAACCGCACCCTATTCCTCTGGTTCTAATACTCGGCCCGGCCTAAACCGGCCCTTACCAAGGTACATGCTAGGTATACGGCCTGATGGTCTGGCCGAGCCCGACCTGAATCCCTAACTCGTCCTAAAAAAAATTTAAAAACTGTTTTTTTTTTTTTTGGACCAACAGGTCGTATCTTCATAATAAAATTAAATGGTGAAAAGGAATAAGGAAAACTGTTATTTTTTTATATCAATAAATAAATATACATAATAAAATTAAATATATTTTTGTATAAACATGTTAGCGGTATAATATATTAATTAACTTACAAGCTAGCATTAATAGGATTAGATATAACATTTTCAACATTGATTAAAAGATGTTGAAAATGGATGATTCATTGTTTGGGCCTAAATGAACCGACTCTACGAAAATGACTCATTTAACGTTTCTGTTATATCGCACGGGTTACGTAATAGTTTTTAAAAATAAGAATAATACATAGTTGTAATATTGTATTAAATAATACAAAACGGTAATATATGATAATTTAATAAAAAAGAAAGATAAAATAATTTTATGGTGATTCTAAAGTCTACATGTCGATACGAAACATATGTTGATGAAACATTTGAAGCATGAGAGTCTGACATTTAAACTCAAACACGTTTTAGAATATTCACAGATGGTATCTATCATCAGTTAATTATTATCATTATTAAGATGGACACAAAGATAATAACAGTAGGTAGGTGAATAAAAGTTGTCTTATGCGTTTCAGAATCTTTATGATTAATTGGATCGTTGCTTTAATTGTAATATCATTTCACATGTTTCTTTTTATAGTTTAACAAATACTTGGGCCCAACTCAATTACATTTTAAAGGATGGAAACTTTTTCTTTTTTAATATTCTTTTATTTTTAGTGAGATGAGATCGTACATTTTTTTTTTTGTACAAAGATGGAGACCAGAGGCCCGAGGTCTATGATACTAGAATCCGACGTAGGTGAGACCATACATTCTCCATAGACACCCAAACCTTTTCCCACTTCTTTATTTTGATGACTCCTACATAAAACACTAAAAGAACATATCATTTCGAAGCATTTATGAAATTTTCGTTAGAATTTTCAAACAGAAAATATAATATCAAAATATTCATTGGAATTATCGTAGAATTCTATTAGAATTGGTCGTGGAAATTTGATGAATTGTTGTAGTAAAAATAGATGTGAATTGATTCAACATAAGGATATGCTACACTAGCTCTAGATTTATAAAATATTGTTGATAAAATTATTATCGTGTAATCGTCGATTACAATAACTAGTGTGTAACCCCTGCGATGCATGGTAAATAATATTAAATAATAAATATAAATCAAAGATGACAGTAAACAATGTTAACTAATAATTATAAATTAAATATGAGGATAAACAATATTAACTAATAATTGTAATTAAGATGTGGAGTTAATATGTGACATAATTTATTTTATATCAGTTGTAAACAATATAAAATTAT